TTGATATTGATTGTAAGGACCATTACTGATTGATAATGGTAAGCCAGTTTGGAGTTCTGAGTAGTAGAATGACTTTATCTGATTTGTTAAAAGGATCACTGTAATATGGAAAATAGATTTAAGAGGGCAGAGATGGAAGGAAGGAGTTCAACAGTTAGATCATTGTTTTAGAATTCTAGGTGAGATATAATAGTGGCTTGGATAGTGGGGGTTAGACATGGCTAGATTCTATATAATTTGTAGAGAGACTGTACGTGTGATTAGGAGAGAAGGCAAGAACAACTTCAAAATTTTGTTCCTTAGCATCTGGAACAGTAAAATTGTTATAAATGAATGTAAGTGTTCAACGGTGACCAAAAACAGACAATACTGTTTCTATAATGGAGCATATATGTTGTTGCAGGTTTTCATTCATAGGAAGAATGGGTGGGTGTATGCATAGAATATCTCTGGACTAATATTAAAGAAATGGGAATGTGCATAGCTTGAGGAGAGGACCGAAGATCCTGAGTGTGAGAGAGACTTCACAGACTTCATTCAGTGCAGTAATGTGCTGGACTGCAAAGTGTATTTGAACCACAAGTTTGGTGATTCAAACTCACCAGCCACTCCTTGGAAACCCTATACAGGGTCACTGTGGGTCGGAATAGACTATAGCACTTACCAACAACAACAACATAGGGTTGCTATGAATCAGAATCAATTCAGTGGTAGTGGTGTAGAGTATATAGAAGTAATACATATATACAGAAATGTTTGCATAGTGTGCAGCTGATTGAGTATTCAAACTGGCCACTACACCCAGGTCAGGTAACAGGACATTTTTAGAACCTCAGCACTACCCTCTCATACTCCCATCTAGCCATTAACTGCCATCCCTGACAAGGGTGATGTACACTCTGATTTCTGGTGCAGAGCCTATCTTTGCCTGTCTTGGTGATATATATGGAACCATATAACAAACTCTCTGGCTTCTTTTACTCTTTTATTCTTATCATCACATGTAGTTGTGATGCTTTCTCATTGTGGTATACTGTTCAATTGTGTGACTACACCACAATGCATTCTTCTATTAACAGGCTCTTAAATTATTTATTGATGCCCAGCTACTACTATGGAGTCCTGGTGTGGTGCGGTGAGTTAATGCACTGGACTGCAAAGTCAGTTTGAACCACAAGGTTGGTGGTTCAAGCTCACCAGTTGCTCCTCAGAAACCCTATTAAGGGTCTCTATGGGTTGGATCCGACTTGTCCGCACTTAACAACAACAGCTTCTACTGTCCTTGTCAAGTTTCCGTTTTATTTAACTTGAATGCTGTTAATATTAAATGGACTTTTAATATGTTTGGGTGATTTTAGTCTTTTTTCCTTCTTTAACAAAAATTTCTGAGAAATACTATCTTTTCTAGGATGATTGTAGAGTTGTTTTGGCAAAACAAGAAATTACAAGATTACTGGAAACATTGCAGAAACAGCAGCAGCAGTTTACAGAGGTTGCAGATCACATTCAGCTGGATGCCAGCATCCCTGTCACTTTTACAAAAGTAATGTATTATTATACTTTCTTTTTCAGTTTCAGATGGATTATAATTCACTTACATTCTGTGACAGTTACCTTGAAGAGATAACTATGTAATTCCTGAATTATCAGATTTTTAAAACTTTTATCAGTGGAAAACAAAATGAATAATATGAGTCTTTTTGTGTCCCATCTTTAACAATTAAAAACTTATTGTTTCAACTACATTTTCCTCACACTACCCCTTACTTCCCCAACCACACCGTGGGTGTTTTGAAGTAAATCGCAGATAGCATGTCATTTTATCTATGAAATACTTTAGTGTGTGTCTTTAAAATATAAGGGTTCTTTTAAAAAATTACCGCA